TATAATAATATGCATACTTACTTAACCAAGGAATTACATTTTATTTTTTTTGAAGTCCAAGGATCGGACAATAACTATTTTGTTTTATAATATTGAATATCACAATTTTTTTGTCTAGGAAAAGAGTTCAGATTTAGTTGAACAAAATATTTTGTCCACACAATGTAAGGGAAATAATCTAAATAATTAATGATATAAATATTATTAAAGTAATGTATAATGTACATAATTTGCAAAACATATTAAGTAAACATAATATAGAGAGAATTAGCATATACTGGTTCTTATTACAATTTTCATAGCATATTCTAATTCTACTACAGAAAAATATTTTTAAAATATTATATATCAAAAAGGAAATAAAAGTGAATACACGTCATAGTATATTATTCATTTCCTGAAATTAGTCTGAAGTTCATATCACCATTGAGGTTTAAATGCAATAATAAAAATATTCACATTCTCTAGATTGTGCAGCGTTAGAATGTATGTTTATGGTGGTTTTGTTGTTGTTTTGTTTTTTGTATGTAGGATACGAGTAACTGTGTTCATATTTGATACATTTCTTTGTTATTTCCAAAATAAAAAAAACATGATACTGTTATGATTAGTAATATGTCATAACAATATCATTAATGTTAACCATAAGAAATTTGATGGTGAAAATTTCATTTGAACAAAAGTGCATATATAGAAGTGTTTCTATCACAATTTTCTTGACAGCAATGCGGTAAAAGTGTTCCCATACATGTTTCCTCTTCTGTGCCCACTCTGTTTGCATGCATATGTTCTGACTGAAACATTATTTCTTCTACACTTGATGTTGGCATGCATGTCACTGTGAAAAATTGTGTAGGGAACATCTACACTTAAAGGGACTCTGCATTTCATTGAACTGGTCTGGGTGCAGTGTCCGTTCCCCCTCTAGTTCTGCAATGTTCCCCTTTAGTTTTCATAGAAACTGCAATGATTAGAGTGCAGAACTAAGTCTGCTTCTAGTGACTGTCAAGCAGCTAGGCACTTCCTGGATACTAATAGACTCTAGGTCATTGATGGCTAACCTTGACACCATAAATAGTTTCTGGACTACATTCCCCATGATGCCCAGCTAGCTTTTAGACTCTAAAAGTTAGCTGAGCATCATGGGAAATGTAGTCCAGAAACAATGTATGGTGTCGAGGTTAACCATCACTGCTCTAGGTCCTCTAAATGATTCTGGAAATCCTTACCACTGCATGAAGACATCCAGTGTCAATGAAATCCCCATAGAAAATAATTGAGACAATGCTTTCCTATGGGGAGAGTCTAATGCGTCAGTGGTGTTCGCTGCCCATGCACATTAGATTCCCCTGTTGGATGATGTTGGAGAAGGTGGAGCGCCAACTAATCGCTGAAAGACATCAGCACTGGAATTGGGGGAGTAAATAAAGGATTTTTAATAATTAGTTCATAGTAACAAAATGAATAGAGTATACAAATGCAAAATATAAAATAAAAAGGGGGGATGAGTGAGTGGACTTTACGATTTTATTGTCAGCATGACATTACCAGTCCAGAGATTGCAGTCATTCTTTTTACATTCTGTTGCCATTTTTAGTAAGATGCGCTGCTAGTAATTCCTTCAGGGTCCTTACAAATACCTATGAGCAAGGTATTTGACTATTTTATTTATATATATTGGTAACACCTACTGTATGCAAGTACATTTTTTGTTGTTTTTTTGCTTTTATACTTTCATTTCAGACCCTGAATAAAATATTCCAAGAAAAAGAACACTGTATAATATCTAAAGCTTTTAATTTCCCAAATATTTTTATGAAGGATAAATAAGTGAAACATGGTAGACAGCCACTTGAGGTAGAGTTAACTCTGAAAGGTAGTTATTGCAGTTTCTTAAACATCAATAATGACCTCTCCATGGTTAAGGGACATGGACACTACACCCAAACCACTTCAATGAGCTGAGGTGGCCTGGGTGCCTATTGTGTCCTTTTAAGCATGTCACGTTTATGCAGTAAACACTAGCTACAAGGATCCCTCTATATCCCATGGAAGATAGACAAGTAACACAAAAACAGGTTGGGCCAAATATAAAAAAAAGAGTAAGTTTTAAGCAAAAAAAAAAAAAAGAAATAATAAACAAATGAAAGTACAGTCCAAATTATCTTCTAATGACCTTCATTCTTATGTTATTTGGTTCTTTCTCATTGAGTGGATGTAAGAAGGAAAAGTGAGAATAAGAGAATTGATTGTGTAGTATTTATTTTATATCAACAAATGATACCACACTTACTGTAAATACAATCACACTGTAGTAGATATAGACATCTCACATGTTTTTATTATTTCAAAAAGAACAACAGAAAATAACAAAAATGAGCCACAACAGTTATTTTGAAGAAATAAATGAACAAAAAATGTATAAAAAAGTATAATTTACAAAAATATGCGTAAAAATGGTGGTGATGATGGCAATTGGGACATTTTAAAGGTGCCACCATTGGTGTGTCAAAAGGTGAAATATAAAGTTAAATATAAAGGACATGAATATTGGATCACAATAGCCTTCCTATACATAATAAGTTATATGCAGCATAAACATTTTCCAAGTACCCTGTAAAACTGAATAAAGTTGCAATTAGGTTCTTCAACAATGTATTATGTTTATAACAATATTTTGTGTGAGATTAGAGAAGATTTGCCTTTTTCCTAGGAAATTCTATCTTGGATTAATTCAATGTATGATGATGCCAAAAAACATTTTAAAAAAGTTTTTATAAAAACAAATAAACAAAAAAAAATTAAAAGAAAATTGTAAAAGTAGTGCAGAAATAAGTACCCAAAATACTAGCTAGCTAACACATTTGCATACATCCCCTAATGTTACTCTACCCCAAACATATCTAAAATAAAAATAGAATAAAAACTAACAGGTCCAATATTAGAATGAACCACAATACAGTCCACGTTTTATTTTTGTTTTTAAAGTTGTATGGCTCATACAGTATAGCGGTTCCTTTTAATATTGGACCTGTTTTATTTTTATTCTATTTTATTTTTTTCCTGGAATACCTTAAAACACACTAGCCTTTTAAAGTTGTATGGCTCATATGGCTCATACAGTATAGTGGTTCCTTTTAATATTGGACCTGTTTTATTTTTATTCTATTTTATTTTTTTCCTGGAATACCTTGAAACACACTTGCCTAGAATCTATCTAGACATCTAATCCCCAGTAGGGTTTGTACCACATATGCTGACAAAACTGAGCAATTTTACTGCTTTAAGAAATGTGAGTAAATTTTCATTACTTTACTAATATATAAAATTACAGAAAATACTATATACTGTTTTTTATATTCTATATATGTGTATTCTGCTGAAAAAGTTGTGAACAAGATACATCTTTGTGTGGAGATGTACCACCTTACACCTTAAATTTTGAGCTTTAATAGAAAGTTCTTCACTTGTGAGTGCAATTCTTATTTTTTGGCACTGTATTCAGTTTAAATTTGCAATTTTATCTTGTCATTGCATATTCTTCACAGTGAATCACTGGAAATACTAAATCTACGTATATATTTACCAGGATGATTTTGGATTAATGTCATCTTATGATTTGTGTGGATTGGCTTTCCTGCTGCTTCTGGAAAGGCTCTCTCACTGTTACTGTCTGATTCTCCTGGGCAGCAACAGCTAGGCCTGTTTGCGAAGGAGATTCCATGAGGGGATATTCCTCTGACGTCTGACATCATATTCACATTCTTTCCATGGGTATTGCTTGCAGTACATGACCGCGTGAGAAGGGAATTGTTGAGAGTTCCAAAAAAAAAAGTAAATTTCAAATTGTATACTACAAAAGAAGAATTAGCCAAATCAATTATATTTTCAAATGGCCTTAAATGGCAATTGTGTTTTGAAATAAATTCAAATGCCAGACAGTTCTCACTTGTATTAATAACCAAGCTGAGCTTCCTTCATTATATGCTGCAAGTTTGAAAAGAAAATTTGTTTACACTGGAAAGACACCTGTGTTGGCGTTCCTTCACGGTAAATGCACTCTGTTTAAAAACAGATTAGTAATTTCTGTTAACCACTTAAGGACGGAGCCAATTGTACATGTTCTGATCAAAGCATAAACAAAACCTGGAATTTGTGCTATGTGTCTGTTCGACAGTAATTCACCTCTTTCATATTAAAGGGACACTGTAGTCACCCAAACAACTCCAGCTCATTGAAGTGGTCTGGTTGCTGTGTCCTTTTTGCACCTAGTGCCGCAATGGAAAACATTCCAGAGAACTGCAGTGTTTACATTGTAGCACTAAGTCTGCCTTCAGTGACTGTCTCATAGACACTGGGGGTGCTTCCAGAATGGTAACAGACTTTTGGACCGTTATCTGATGCCAGACATCCTCAAGCTCTGCATGAGGACCTCCAGCATCAGATTTTTCCCTAAAGGAGGGGCGGAGCTTCAACCCAGCATTGAGGGACATCAGCGTTGGGATAAAGTAAGTAAATAAAGGGGTATGCGATGAAGGAGGGAGGCAGAGGGATTGGTGGTGCCAGGAATACAGCCTTGTGTTCCAGGCACTACAGTATCCCTTTAAGTGTTTCCACACTTATTATATATAATTTTGTTCAGGAGAAACAGGGCTTTCATTTACCATCAACTATTCATATATAACAATTTATTATGAAAAGAATCTAAAAAACTGAGAGAAATTAAGATTTAATTTTTTTTTTATTATTTTCCATTGCATTTTAACTGTGAATGTCAATACTGTTAGCTTTTACTGCAATACATTTTTTTTTACATATTTGTATTCAGTGATGTCTCATGAGTACAACAGTACCCCCTATGAATAGGTTTTATGGTGTTTTGGAAAGTCAAATATAGCACATTCCATTTTTCAGTTTATACACATTGAAATTTGCCAGATTAGTAATGTTGCCTTTGAGACCATATCATAGACCAGGAATGAGAACTACCCCCATGATGGCATACCATTTGCAAAAGTAGAGAACCCAGGGTATTCAACATGGGGTATGCCTAGTCTGTTTTTGTAGCCACTTAGTCACAAACACTGGCTAAATTTAGCGTTCATCTTTGTTTTTGTGTGAAAAATGCAACAACAAAAAAATATGGATGCTAACTTTGGCCAGTGTTTGTGACTAAGTGGCTACTAAAAAAGACTGGACACACCCCACATGCAATACCTTGGATTGTCGACTTTTGCAAATGGTATGCCATCATGGGGGTAATTCTCATTCCTGGGCTACCATACGGTCTCAAAGGCAACATTACCAATCTGTCAAATTTCAATGTGAACATAAAATGAAATGCAAGCCTTATATTTGACTCTCTAACTTTCCAAAACACCATACAGCCTGAACATGGGGGATACTGTTATACTTGAGAGACTTCACTAAAAACAAATATTAGTGTTTCAAAACAGTAAAATGTATTACCACAATAATATCGTTCATGAAAGTCCTGTTTGTATGTGAAAAATATAAAAGGTCCCTTTCACTGACAATATCATCCTTGTAATACAATTTACCATTTTAAAAATTTGATACAATTACCAAACACAATGTACTAACTCAATTAACACAGGCAGAAAATATCCAGTTTTACCCAAAGTCCAGAAACACCCCAAATCAACATCATATCCCCACAAATCTACATCCCTGAATAGCTCTGATCTGGGTGAACAACATATCCAACAATCACCTAGATCAGAGCAGGGGTTCAAAAGTTTTAGGGATGTCACATTTTGACCGACAGCAAGCATGGCTTTCATGCCAAAATATTTCCACAGATTTAGGCTGTGCGGTCGGACTATCTTCTCTATCCTGGAGATAATTGGCTTAAGTGGCTGTGGTAATCCAATTATCTCCAGGTACAGGAAATATCTCTAAGTCCAAAAACTGTTACAAAAACCACACAAAAATACATAACTCATATAATACAATGTTTAACCTATATGTCCAGCATATCCCCAGGTAGCTTGGATCTCAGCACTCAATATGTCCGAACAGCGCTCAGATCTCACGAATACAGTTGGGTCGCCATGTGGTTAAAGTTGTCTCTTTTGACTGACCGCAAGCATGGCTTTCATGCCCAGAATAGTTCCACAGATTTTGGTGGAAAATTTTCAATGTTAAAAGTGCACTATAGTAGGGTGAGGTCATAAAATAGCAAGGGCTGATGGGAGATTGAGGAGGGACAAAGCATCCAGTTTCAACTAGTCTGGCAGTGTCCCTGGGACAGCGCCCTGCTGGAGGACAATAGGACAGGAAAAAGGGGGAGGGGAAGAGGCACATTTTCCCATGGAAGTCAATTTTTAGCCTGTCTTTTTTTTTCCTTATAGTCTTGGGGCAGGTGGCTGGCAAATAGTCCCCTCCAAAAACTCATGGCAAACTACCTAAAAAAGGGGAGTTTGTCACAATATATTAGTTTTTTTTGTTTGTTTGTTTTTTAAACACATAATCTAGGCAAAAATAATGGGGGTTTAGTTACATTATATGATCATACATTTCATAAGCCTGCCACAACATCAATGTACCCCATCTTTGGCAGGTCCTACACTAACAGCCTAATGTCTGCTCTTATGAGATTAACCCACTTACTTGGGGAAAAAATTCCATCTGGGGCTCTCTGCAGTACAAGACTAAATAGGGTGCTGGGATGAGGCACCTGTGACAGGGAGGGGTGCAAAACCAAGGAGCTGGCTAGACTCCCAAATATATATATATATGAAACCAGGGGGCTGCACTCACCTGAACATGCACAAATGGGTGCTTGCAATACATAAAATCCAGCACACTCACTTATCCACTAAACAGCAATTTCAATGTTGACAAATTGTTTCCCCACACCATAACCTTTTTGGGTTTTGCTTCCCAAGCACTACCAAGCCTAAATAAGCAAACCAGTAACCAACCTCATGCTGCTGATTTGCATTAACAATGAAATAGCTGTGCATGAGTGGTTCTCTGGCTTTGCATATTTCCCTAAGTTGTGTTTCAAAGCTGTTGTATACAGCAAACACAGACTCAAAGGAATCTATGTTTAAAATGGAATGAGGCAAAAATGTGATTCTTTGTTAAACTAATTTGCATATGCCCATCCAGAATCCCTTGCAGTAATAGCATCACTGCAGATTTGTGATTTCTGTGGGAAAGGCAAGTCTTATGGCTTGACTCGTGTGCAGATTTTTGTTTAGCATTGTATTATATATATATATATATATATATATATATATATAATTATTTTTATGTGTACTAATAATTTTTTTAACTTTTCCTACCAGCAGGGGGACTTTCTGACAGTTCAGACAGTCCCCCTGCTGGCAGATCTATAGGCAGCTATGTCAGCCATGTGGTCGCTGATTTGCTGTGGTAGGGCTGTCAGGCAGTCCTCCCGAAGAGAATCGCTGGGAAGGTGAGTATCCCGGCGGCTCCTGGGCTCAAAGCCGTTACACCGTTCTGTGCTGGCGCAATGGCTTTAAAGCTCATTAAATGTGGGACGGCATTAAACTGTAATGGTGTTAAGGGGTTAAAGTACAACTCCAGGTACCAAAGCAACTTCATCTAAATTAAGTTGTTATGGTGATGGGGGTTAAATCGTTTTTGAGCGGTTTAACCCCAAAGTTGCCTCCAGTGCCGATCTCCACTCCCCCCTGCAGCATCCAGCGTCTGAAATTTCAGGTTCAGAAAGCACTGAGTGTCACTGGGCAGGATTGCAGTTGATTGGCTTTTTGATTTTCAGCCAATCAGTGACTCCCCCAACTTCAAGGTTAAACCATTTGTAAACAGTTTAAGTTTACAGTTTACCCTTATAGTAAGAGTGCTCTGTGGGACATCCTGGCTCTATTACAACTTAATTAAGTTAAGTTGTTATGGTGCCTTATATCTCTAAACTGTCCCTTTAAAAAAGAAAAATCTAACATGTGCTGATTATATAGGGAGTAAACAGATTTAAGATAGAAAAGCGAAAGTGATGTGGCACATATTATAAAACAAGGTTTAATTAAGGAAACAATACTGCACTATGTTTACTTTTTCATTTATATTTAAACTTAATTCTTAAATGTTATTTTAAAATAAAGAGCATGTAAGGCATCTTCTTTACAAAAATAAAAGTAATAATAAGAAAACATTCAATGCTATCACAAATAAATCAAAATGAAACAATTTCTCCAGATTTTCAATTTTTCAGTATTGATGCAGTAATAAGTTCTCACATACAGCAATCACATTGCGAGTAATGGCTCAATGAACTCTAGTGACCTTCACCTATGCTCATGTGTTTATAAAATTTGTTGTTACAGATATGGTTTAGTTACATTCAGAGATTTACTTTTAATAGAAAAATACTTTAATACAAACGTTCCCCATTAAAAATGTTATCAAGGCACTTATAATGTTTTGTAAATTAAAAATCTTATCACTGGAAAAAGAAAGTACTTTAGAAAATGTAACAGAGCCAGATAGAGCCTGTTTATAGGAGGTGTTAGGGGATAAGGGCATTTTTAAAAAGAAGAGGGATGGTAAAATGTACTGTATATTTCTAGCAATATTGTTTATCAGAATCTACAATGGCAGGTGTAGATAGATCTTAGAATGAGATCTGTGTTTGCAAAGAGAATAAGCAATAAAAATGATAAGACTGGTGCATCAGGGAAATAGAAATTTAAAACCCTTATTCAAACTTGATAAAGATATGCAGCTGTTTAAACAGATAATGCCTTCTGTAAATGTTTGCTGCGGAAACAAATATATTGGAGATTAATAACTAAAGGAAAGGTTTTCTAGTGCTGCTGTCTTCATCACTTACTCTGGAAGAGTGATGAGCCTTTTTACTTTACAGATTATGGTATAATATATATTACAATAGCTAAAGATTTTATTAAAGGTTTAGCGCACTCAATGATGATTTATAATGCTTACTCTGACAAATCTTTTTATTGAAAGTAGTGAATTTTGGAATAGTAATACTGATGGCAAAAGACGAAAAATTATTACTGATCCACTAGTTATTTGTGAGTTAAAATTGAGACTTAAAGGTTGTTTCATGGACATCTTTCCACTTATTTCAGGGTTATTTTAAAATTTTGTAAATGTGGTCTTGTGTCTGATAAGGAATTAGGAATTAGGTTACATCAAGTGACTGGGAAGCTGTATGCTTTAATAATAGTGTGACAGACCACCCTGTCCCTGGTGCACTGAACGGATTATGTTCAATTTGTTTGTATACCGAATAAACTCACGAACTGTTAGACCACCCGTAGGCTATGTGTGCTGCTTATTGACCCTTTTAACCTCTGTCATTATTAACCGCAATAACCACAACATTCTAAGTGGTTGGCTGGGTGGCCATCTTAGCAGCGAACACATGCAGCGGTGTTTGGTCGTCAAGTGTATGGAACCAAAATTGGATACTTGACTACCCAAACACCGCTGAAACTTTCACCTCCACCTATGTTCGGTAAAATCATCAGAACTAAAAGGCGTTCGGTGGGAGCACACCCTCGAACGAGAGACACAGACTCAGTGTATGCATGAACAATTACGTTTGGTATTTTTATTGTATTTCATACCCCTGAAGTCTAAACTTTACCAATGTAGCGTTTCGGCTGCGTTTGCAGGATATGTTGGCTGCTCAGATCCAGGCTATCTGGGGATATAGGAGTTGAGGGGGTACCTGATTGTAAGATGTATGTTTTGGGTTGTAATACATGTGTATGTTCTTAACCAGAGAGATAATGTAATTTAGATGTGAACTTTACAGCAGTCTCCTCTCAGGTCAACCGGGAAATGCGCCTTGGATGTGATTTAGGAAACCCCTTGCATGGTGATTTAGATAAAAGGCTGTGTGTGGCTCCCATTAGAGCCAGTTCATCCACAGCATAGAGCCTCATCTCATGTGTGTGGGAGAAAGCTATATCAGTCATATCCCTGCTCTTTGGATTGCTGTATCACGTCTCTACTGGTATAGAGATTGTCGCTATGGGAAAGGCCTGCTCAGAATTACGATAGCATCACTCACTACTAGGGGGAAGGGGACATCTCTGGCGGTGAAACTCGAGTAACTAGCTGAGTGGTTGCCACAAATAGGTTTGGGGACACTATAGTTACCAAAACAAATACGGCTTAATGTAGTTGTTCTGATGTCTATAGGCTTTCTCTACAGGCTTTTTAATGTAAACACTGCCTTTTCAGAGGAAATGCAGTATTTACATTACTGGCTAGAATGTAGAAATCACTCAGACTACCACTAGAGTTGCTTCCTGGATCAGTGCTGCACAGTTAGAAGATCCCCTATGTTCAGCGTCTCCATGTTCTGCATGGAGCTGCTGAACACTCCCCATAGAGATGTATTAATTCAATGCATCTCTATGAGGAGATGCTGATTGGCACAGCACAGCATTTTGCTGCAAATGTGTTTTCCTATGGGATAGAATTGGATTGACTGAGATCATCAAATTTAATTATCTCAGCCAAGGAGGCGGAGCAGGGTGGAACCATAGCTATAATACATGTTTGTATTCCTGACACTATAGTGCTCCTTTAAGCAGGACTCTCTTGCTTCTTAAACCTATCTTGCTACCTAAAACAGTGCCTGGTGAGAAATAACTTCTACTATAGGGTGTACACAAGTGTTGCATGACTCCCCAGCACTTTGAGCTTTTGAGTTTAGATATCACTTTGAGTTTAAATAGAGAGGAAAACTGTGAGGGTGAACTTAATACACTATAATATTTTGTAACCAATATTTCAATGTAAATAATAGTTTAGAACGATTCAAAGAGTGTAGAAAATCAGCCCTCATCTCAAAGCTTTTATAGAATACTTCAAGCCCCACATGCCTCCTGGGCAGGCTAACAGATTCATAAGTAAAATACATCACAAGTAAGTTTTTCTGTCTGCCTTCTCAAACAATTTTGCAGTGATCCTTAGGAAACAAAAACGATAAGCATTAATCCATTTATGACTGAGCCATTTAATAAATTCCATGTTGCATAACTCCCAAGTGTCCCTACTTAGGAGGGATAATCCTTAAATGGACACTACAGGCACCCAGACCACTTCTGCCCATTGGAGTGGTCTGGGTGCCAACTCTCACTACCCTTAACCCTGCAAGTGTAATTATTGCAGTTTGTATACACTGCAATAATTACCTTGCAGGGTTAACTCCTCATCTAGTGGCTGTCTACTAGAGGTTCTGTGCTATAGCGTCACTGGACGTCCTCACGCTAGTCCCTAAAATCCCCATTGGAAAGCATTTAAAGCATTTTCAATGCTTTCCTATTGGGAGGTCTAATGCGCGTGCGATGCATTGCCGTGCATGTGCATTAGGTCTCCCCCGCCGGCGGCCTCACATGCACAGTCCGTCTCCCCTGCCGGCTGACGTCGGCGGGGTAGGAGCGTGGGCAGACCTAGAACCAGCACTTAGAGACATCGGCACTGGTCTCAGGTATGTCACTGAAGGGGTTTTTACCCCTTCAGCAACCTAGGAGGGGGGTGGGAGGGAGAGGGGACCTGCAGTGCCAGGAAAACGGATTGTTTTCCTGGCACTGGAGTGTCCCTTTAATTTGAGAACAAACCCCTTTGTCCCTCTATATTATGTCCCTCTTTTCTAAGAGCTCCATATTTATGGTGTGTCTGAGTGTATAAGGAAATAGTCTGTGGAAGACACTCCAAAGTAAATTCCAAATGTTGGTCCTGGTCCCTGTTTACCTGGATCGAAAAATTTAAATAAAATTAAATGTATTGGTGAGTGTGGAGGACCTTTATATTTTGTGTCTGTGTGTATAGTAATAATGTTCTAAGCAATGTGTATTTAAACTACAATAAATGTGGTTAGAAATCAGTCTGTGTAAATAAAAGACTTTGTTCTTCTTATGATTATTATTCATATAGGACCAACATATTCTGCTTTACAATTATAGAATGGGGTAAAAGAAGTCCATGCTCAAATGAGCTTACAATCTACAAGGATTTGAAGTAGGTGGATGTATTTCATAAGGTTCTTGCTCAATTATATTTATTGGGGCTGACTGGGATTCTAACCTAGGCTTTTCGGTGACATTACCTTACTCCAGAAAACTGCAACCTCCACACACTTCAACCTGTAACAAAGAGGTTAGAGGTCTGGATAAACCCAGTTAAGTTTTGCTGGATCCAAGTACCAACTCATGATCACCTTATATCCATTCTCAAATGTTGCTGGGCAGATAGAAAAAAGGATTGTGTATGTATGTTTTTGAAAGTATTTGCATCCCCAAGTAATTGCACATAACTACATATAAATAAAATAGAAACAAATGCATTTTTTATAGTTTTGCTTACAATCATTTCTGTACAATTAGTTTGACAAACAAAAATAAACCAAAACAAATGGACATTTTAGTCTTGGGTGTTAAAATGCCACAGACGTTCAAGTTATTGTGCAAATATTGCAATTAGTATGTTCATGTTTTTTAAAGGTGAAACTTTGCAAAATTTGGTCTGCTGAGAATGTAACATTAATAAAAGTTACAATGATATTTGTATAAAGTAGATCCCTTGAGGGTATAAACCAAGGCAATACTGACACTTTTTATTTAACTATTAGTCAAACATGCACTCCAAAAGTTATACTAAATGTGGTTAAATTTCTAACCCTCGCTAACTTTTACCTAACTAATCTTAACCCTAGCTACCACAACCCTTCCTAGCTACCATAACCCTACCTACCCATAACTTATCCTGTTTAGTAATTTGACCCCAAGCTGAATGTTGTCTTTGGGAGGGAATCACAGTTATCAGATTGCTCCAATCATTGCTTAACGAGCCAACAGTAGTCAGCTAAGATCTAATCTTTGCATGCAATGCTTTAACAGGGCAACAACTGTCAATCATGCAATTGGACCATTGTGTTTGGCTGTAATTGTGCTTGTCTGTTATAACAGCATTCTGGTGTACTCAGACTTTGAGACTGTCCAGTAATAGCAAATACATCACACAATCACCATGATCATTGGTTGTGTACTACTATTAATGGAGGTCTCCTTGGCTGGCTGCAAATGATAGATATAGCAATCACTTGCCCAACTATACCTATATGTATTTGTATTGATGGCCCTCCACTTCACTGTTTCTGTTATGATTCACTACTCAGACATCAAGAAAGTGCCCAGTCCCAATGATCCAGGAATGGTCAGCTTTGTGATAAGCACTAGTAATGGCTACTGTATAGCCATCACAAATTGCATAAATGTTAGAATGGTTTCCTGTTTAATGGCTGTCATTAAAGGGTTAATTACAGTAAAGTTAATAATATACTGGTCCACTTATTCCACGTGCTTGGCACATGCACTTAGAACTAGGAAAAGGGGTGAGCTATCAAGCTTGCTTGATTAGCAGTCATTATCAAAAGGAAGGAATGGGAGATTAGGAAAACTTAAATCTTTGTTTAACAAGTATTTTCTAAGCAGAATTATTAGACTTAATTGTAATTTGGTAGAGTCTACTTTACCTTTACAGGTGGGAAGAAATATGACATGCTTTTGCAAGATAATTAGACCATGGTTGTTATCTGTAATCTCTTTAGGAAACTACAATCGTATAAATCTTTTCCATAAAAATAAAGCATATGTTGCTCAATATGTTATAACAGCTGTATATCTTTTAGAAACCAAATAATGATTTATATTTTATTCATATATACACTGAAGTAGAGTGTGACCGGTCAGGCATGTTTACCTTGTCATCATTGATCTGTAAAGGTTCAATCCAATGTGCAGAACTGCTGAATATCTTCATTATTAACATTTAATGTACAATATACTGAGGATCCACAAATATGTATTCTGTAGAACAACATGCTGTCATCTGCATGGGATCAATAAACTAGTTGAGCAAAATTGGAAATTTTGTCTTATTTATATAGAACAGAAAATTCTCCATAATACAATAAAGAAAAGATAAGTAGAATTAAAAAAAAACAGCACTGTCAAACATGAATCTGCAATAATCTGTCAAACAATTAAAGGTGGAAAAAAATAAATGTTCCTGTCAACAACTTGTTCTCACAAATCATGGCTCATTCCTGCTTCTTATGTGTGAAAAAAAAAACAATATGCATGTTAAAAATTATAAATACGTATACCTAGGTAGTCTTAAAATAGTTAACTTCAAAGAAAAAAAATAACAACAGATTTTACATCCAATTGATCTAAGTTTATTTTTCTTATACCATTATGGAATTCTAATAAACTCGGATAGTAACTATATTGTTTTATTAGTGAGTACCATCAGCTTCTTTTCAAATATTTCTAGTAATACATTTTCAATAATAATACAATATGAAAGCAGAAATACCAAAAGCAAAATGGAGTAATTAATTGACAAACATAATCCAATGCTAAATTGTGTATACTAAAGTATTGTTATAACGTTAAAATATACCAGTTTCGGGGGCGTGTCCGACTTCCGGTGAGAGAGGACGCATGGCATAGGAGCTCCGCCGTTATCCCAACCTTGAGCGACTAATTGAACGGCATTCAGCGACCGAATCATCGCTATCCTCTACCCTGAACTTACAGGAATATTACAGCACCCTACAATGCCTCCTCCCAAGCAGCTAAAGCTGTCGGATATGACAAAATCGAAAAGAGCGGACCGCCGCAAAGAAATCCAAGATGGCGACGAAACATCTAATCTATCCGACGGTCAATCAGACTACGAACAGAGCTCATCCAAATACTCTGAAGCTCCAGTGACGGAACACAGCCTTCACAAGATGCAGCAAGAGTTTAGAGCTACTATAACATCAGACTTCCACTGCATTAATGGCGATCTGAGAAAATAAATTTCTAATATCGGTGACAGAACCAGTCACCTGGAAAATAAAACTGACAAGCTCTGTATAGCACACAATGAAGTAGTGGACAAAGTCCAGAAACTGTCTGAAGAAAATTCTCTATTAAGAGACAAGCTTGCTGACATGGAAGACAGGTCAAGAAGGCAAAATATAAGATTCAGGGGCATACCGGATGATGTTACGCAAGAGGCACTACCAGCTCACATTCTGTCCATTTGCAACACCCTGGTCCCGGGCCTACCTGACTCCACATGGGCATATGATCGCATGCACAGACTCCCACGGCCTGCTCGTCTATCAAATGAAGTCCCTAAGGACGTTATTGTAAGATTTTTTATTACTTTGCACACAGAAACCCTGCTGGCAGCGGCGAGGAAAGCCCCATCACTTCCAGAACCTCATCAACGGATCGCACTTTATGCCGATTTATCAGCAGCTACAATGGAAAAAAGAAGGGGATTTATAACAGTAACTAAAACGTTACGGAACAACGTGGCTTACAAATGGGGTTATCCCACCAAATTAATCATCTGGCGTCAAGGTCGAAATCACATAGCGACTGACCCGACGGAAGGTATGAAGCTGATCTCAGCCTGGGGACTATGGACTGGTACTCCTCAACCCCAAAAAGCATCGTATAATGCATCCCCGAGAAAACTTCAAGCAGACTGGCAAATGGCGAAATCACCAGCCAACACTCCGTGATCTCCTTATGGTTACATGTGTCCACACAAGACATATTGATAAGTACCTTGGATATGTAATTGAGATTATAGCAATATCTCTGATTCTATATCCTTGAGCCCTATCTAGAAATGTTGGGAATACCGTTCAGTTTAGGTCATGTATAATTTTATAGTTTAAATTGCTGCGTACATTATATACAGCGCTACTGCCAATATATTATATCTATGCTCACGGAAGGGAACATGATACTATATGGCTCACTAGTATAGCGCTATGCAGACTGATGATCTGGGTGCCCTTCAATGTCCCACCTTATAGAAGGAACTCGATATATATATCCTGCATATAGCTTCGTCCATACCGATTTTCCAGTACACCTATCTCAATCCTAATTTAAAAATTGATCTGGATGATCGGGTCATATGTATAACTTGCTCTGTAGAAAAGTAATAGCCCACATAATTTACAAATATTATGAGTGCTTTATACAACGTATGGTAGCATCAGACTTCCACTGCATTAATGGCGATCTGAGAAAATAAATTTCTAATATCGGTGACAGAACCAGTCACCTGGAAAATAAAACTGACAAGCTCTGTATAGCACACAATGAAGTAGTGGACAAAGTCCAGAAACTGTCTGAAGAAAATTCTCTATTAAGAGACAAGCTTGCTGACATGGAAGACAGGTCAAGAAGGCAAAATATAAGATTCAGGGGCATACCGGATGATGTTACGCAAGAGGCACTACCAGCTCACATTCTGTCCATTTGCAACACCCTGGTCCCGGGCCTACCTGACTCCACATGGGCATATGATCGCATGCACAGACTCCCACGGCCCTCTCGTCTATCAAATGAAGTCCCTAAGGATGTTATTGTAAGATTTTTTATTACTTTGCACACAGAAACCCTGCTGGCAGCGGCGAGGAAAGCCCCATCACTTCCAGAACCTCATCAACGGATCGCACTTTATGCCGATTTATCAGCAGCTACAATGGAAAAAAGAAGGGGATTTATAACAGTAACTAAAACGTTACGGAACAACGTGGCTTACAAATGGGGTTATCCCACCAAATTAATCATCTGGCGTCAAGGTCGAAATCACATAGCGACTGACCCGACGGAAGGTATGAAGCTGATCTCAGCCTGGGGACTATGGACTGGTACTCCTCAACCCCAAAAAGCATCGTATAATGCATCCCCGAGAAAACTTCAAGCAGACTGGCAAATGGCGAAATCACCAGCCAACACTCCGTGATCTCCTTATGGTTACATGTGTCCACACAAGACATATTGATAAGTACCTTGGATATGTAATTGAGATTATAGCAATATCTCTGATTCTATATCCTTGAGCCCTATCTAGAAATGTTGGGAATACCGTTCAGTTTAGGTCATGTATAATTTTATTGTTTAAATTGCTGTGTACATTATATACAGCGCTACTGCCAATATATTATATCTATGCTCACGGAAGGGAACATGATACTATATGGCTCACTAGTATAGCGCTATGCAGACTGATGATCTGGGTGCCCTTCAATGTCCCACCTTATAGAAGGAACTCAATATATATATCCTGCATATAGCTTCGTCCATACCGATTTTCCAGTACACCTATCTCAATCCTAATTTAAAAATTGATCTGGATGATCGGGTCATATGTATAACTTGCTCTGTAGAAAAGTAATAGCCCACATAATTTACAAATATTATGAGTGCTTTATACAACGTATGGTAGCATGCCTAATGTGTTTCATCCCATCTAGGGCGGCGCTATGTCTTCCTTGTACGTCTGTATATTGTAGTTCATAACAGTATTTCGCCTCTGGTACTAGGGCTCCAGTTCTGGGGTTTGATATATTTTCTTAGGCTGCAAACAAGCATAACCGACATGGGCGCACGTATCCAGGGCGAGTAGCCATACTATAAATGGCAACCAGTCATAACAATGCCCAACCGATGATAATGCCACTAGGTGTGACAGCATAACTTATGCATCTGTTTTCCACACCTTGTGTAGTATCTAGAAGTCTCTACTACTGTGGTTTGGACTATGGCATTACCCGTTATATTGCAAGGGATGGCTCTATAGCATACATTAAGATAGACAAAACAATGTATTCATGAAGCTACTTTTATGTGACATTGGTCGGGAGGAGCCCACAAGACCTCCCTAGGTCGTCATGGGATATGTCCCTGCATATCCTACGGATGACGGTTTATGTGAAACCCATCAAGGGTTTCCTTTGTATATACCTGTGTTATTGTTATTGTTTGTTTCCCTCTGGTTTTTTCCTTTTTTTTTTTCTCCTCCCCTCCCCCTCCCCTTCCAATTTCACGATTAGGCCTTTATGTCCACACCGCACCAGATCATTCCATGATATCTGAGAGTATCCACTACAAAGGGAATTTTGAGAGTGTTCCCAATATCATCTTGGCTTCTACGCCTCCAGACTGGGCAATGCTGTATACCACTAGGGGTGCTACACCGTACGGTACTAAACTAAGATGCGACAACTGTCCCAATGCCTCCTCACTTTACAAAATAGCCTAATACACTACAAATCTTTTCCCTTAACGTCAAAGGCCTCAATAGCCCCTACAAATGAAAGCAATTATTAAAGGACATGCATAAAGCAGAAATCGCGATTGTCTGTGTGCACTTCGCGAAACATAACCCTCCTCAGATTCGTTCTCCAATGTACCCACAAGTGTATCACGCTTACTCACCAAACAAGTCCAAAGGTGTTGCAATTTTTTTCCACAAAGATTGGCTTTATACAGTTCAGAAACAGTTCGCTGACCCAGCTGGCCGTTTACTGGTTCTAGTAGGCGAACTAAATGGTATTCAAGTAACTGTGGTATCGCTATATGCTACTAATGAGGCTCAATTCTCATTTCTTAACAAAGCAATTAAGAAAATAAATTCCATTAAACAGGGCCATGTTATCATTTGTGGCGACTGTAACTGTACCCTCACGCCCTCTCTAGATATACAACGCGTCAAAAATAAACCTCCCAATAAATTATCTATTCACAATAGTAAGCTGTTCTCTCGGCTCCTTCATGAGCAAGATCTATATGACACTTGGAGAAATTTATTTCCAACAGCACGTGATTACACATACTTCTCACAGGTCCATCTAACATACACACGCATCGACCTCTGCCTAGTCGATAAACATACCCTCCCACATCTTAAGGACCAATCCATTGGGCTTCGGACATGGTCCAATCATGCCCCCATCCTGGTCACGCCAGCAGTGCCATATCCCACAATAGGGAGAGGTAAATGGCATTTGAATGAATCTCTCCTTGACAACCCTGCCGACATTCAACATATTTTCACGGTACTAGATAATTACTTTGATGCTAACTCCACGGAAGATACCACAGTAGAAACTCAATGGCTGGCACACAAAGCAGTTGTCAGGGGTCACTTCATTAAACTGGGTTCCATAGCTAAAAAAAGTTATATCTCTAAAGAGACTGCACTTCGCCATACCCTTAGGAAGTTAGAAGAATCCAACAAACAATCCCCATCTAAGTCAGTCACCCGTCAAATTACCAAAGTACAACAGGATATTCATCTTCTTCAAACACAATTATATACTAATTAAGCACGTAAAACTCAACAAACTTATTACATTTCAGGGAATAAGGCAGGCAAGATATTGGCTAATCAACTGAAAGCAAAATATCTACAAACTAAAATCCCTTATTTATATTCCAAAGATCATGTAAGAATATATAACCCGAATACGATTGTTGAAGAACTGGCCAGCTTCTATGAAGACCTTTACAATCTTCGCAATAGCTCAGACACAACAACTCCCAATGCATTAGACATAACACAATATCTCTCTCGAATCACACTCCCTCAACTATCGACGCATCACAATAACCTTTTAGATGCCCCCTTTACGGATACTGAAATGGCTAACACGATTAAATCCTTGCCAAAACATAAAGCACCTGGGCCTGATGGTCTCTCCAACTATTATTATTTAAAATTGGCATCGCGACTAACACCACACCTTACAACATTATTTAACAAAATTAGAATGGCAGGTAAATTCCCACAAGAAATGCTGGAAGCCTACATTATCACATTGCCTATGCCAAATAAACCACCAACACTTTGCAGCAACCTCAGGCTGATTTCACTACTTAATGCCGACGTTAAGTTGTACGCCAAACTGCTTGCCAACAGAATTTGTCCCTTGTTGTCCACGTTAGTCTCAGAGGAACAAGCGGGCTTTGTTCCTGGCAGGCAAGTTGGGGATAACACCAGATATTGTATGGACTTAATTGATTGGGCCAACTTTAAAAATAAATCAGGTGCCTTGTTGGCATTAGACGCGGAAAAGGCATTTGACCGCCTAAATTGGGATTATATGTCCGAAACTTTGTCGGCCTTTGGTTTCTCCAATGCTTTCATTACCAGTATCATGGCCCTATACTCCGCTCCATCTGCTAAAGTATTTAGTTCTGGCTTCACCTCAAGGAACTTTTGCATAACTAATGGCACCAGGCAAGGGTGTCCCTTGTCACCCTTGATCTTCATCTTATGTTTGGAACCTCTAGTTAGAACGATCAAGCTTGATGCGGCGTTACCCAGCATAGATACTCTGGCTGGAGAAAAAAAGTTGGCACTCTTTGCCGATGATGTGATCCTCTTTCTAGCCAACCCATCTGAATCCATCCCTCACCTATTACACACACTGACCACATATGAAGATATCTCCTATTATAAAAATAACGTTAATAAAACCCAGATACTCCCCATAAGACTTGATAAGCAATTGGTGAACGAACTGAAAAATACATACCAATTCGCATGGCAAACTAACGCAATTTCGTACCTAGGTATCAAATTAATGCACTCTAAATCCCTAACTATAAAGGAAAATCACATCGCGGTACTGTCCAATATTTCCAAACAGATGGACTCTTGGAGCAATCTCTATACATCATGGTTTGGTAGAATACATTCTATTAAGATGATGATTCT